TACTCAAGCTTCAATGGACCTTATGCACCGAAATGATTCTAATTAACGTGCACCCAAAGTGGTGGTAAAATGGTGGATTTTTGGAGGGAAAGACAGGCTAAACAATCTTCTCTTTTATCCATCCATTCTAGCTGTGGGAGCCACTTTGAGCTGTCCTTTTGTTTCAGTTTACTCTATTTATCTCTTTTGTAAGCTCTTTGGTTGCTGTTTTGGCTTTTATAGCATTTTATCACAGGAATATTCTCAACCATCGGCCATTCCCGTTTTTCTAAATTTTGCTTTCAGGAGCCAGGGCGCTTGCCCCTCCATTGCTAGGAAGATAGAAGTGCATTCAGCTGAGTCCTATGACTAGTGTCTATCATCAGAGTTAGTCTCAGTCCATCAGGACAAGGTACGGTGGAATAACTCACTCAGTTGTCATGTTGCAGCTGGAGTGTGGATGATTATGACCATCTTTTCACTTCTTAAAACTATAGGATTCGTCTTTTATGGATAGTTAAGGGATACAAGAACTCTCTGGCTTTTACTCTTTATCTGTAAATTCACTGGTTGTGCTATAGAAGCACTTCATTTCGTATTAAAGTCTGTGTCGTTATCCAGTACTTGCAGAGAAGAATCATCACATTCAGGACTCGTTTGCGACTCGTCACTATTTGTATCCTCTCCTGACAGTTTTATTTGATATTTATAATTATAAAAAAACAATGGGTATTGTTGCTACAGTTATTGTTGTTATCACTACATTAAATTTGTATACATGACACTTCATATATTTACACATATTTTATTATAAAAAGTATATACATGTACATATACAATAATTTAAAAGTGTCGGGACATTAAAAAAGGCAACTGTTCTATTTAACATTTATACATATAATAACATTACAAATCATGTAATGATGGAACAGTTTTACTTCATACCAGACGTCACTATTAATGCTAGTTACTTGATGCACAGCTATTACAGCACACTTATGATCCTTGGAGTGATTCTTACATGTGAATAAAGAGCCATCCTATAGTTTTAAGAAGTGAAAAGATGGTCATATCATTTTCACTCCAGCCGCACATGACAACTGAGTGAGTTATTCCACCGTACCTTGTCCTGATGGACTGAGACTAACTCTGATGATAGACATTAGTCATAAGACTCAGCTGAATACACTTGTGTCTTCATAGCACTGGAGGGGCAGGCGCCTTGGCTCCTGAAAGCAAAATTTACCAAAACGGGAATTGGCAAAGGATGAGAATAGGCCTATAAAAAACTGGTTTAACAGCCAAAACAACAACCAAAGAGCTTACAGGAGAAATGAATAGTGTGATGAAACAAAAAGAGAGCTCAAAGTAGCTCCTACAGTAAGGATGACTTGATAAAAGAGGAAAATGCTCAGCCTGCCTGTTCACAAAAAAATCCGCCATTTTCATCCAGTTGGGAGGTGCACGTTAATTAGACCGTTCGTTGCATAAGGTCCATTGTTTCTTGTACTTCTTACTTCTCACTACTTGCCTCTTTTTCTTAATTATTTTCATGGTACATTTTATAACTGAATGAATGATCAGACTGAGTTCTTGGTTGGTTTTAAGTTGACTTTTTATGTACTACCATCTTCTGACTGTTTCTTCTTTTCTCAGTTTTAAAAGTATATTTTAAAATACCAGCAGTGACTGATCTGTTTGAGTTCAGTTTTGGATTTTGAAGTGATGTTTCATTGTTTTAACATTTTCACTACCATATGGCCGCTTAATTTTAAGGGTACAATTTTTACTTTTCTTGGATTTTTTTTCGTATCCGCAAAAGTTAATTACGTGAAATTGTCTGTATGACCATAGATAGTGCACATGGAACAGGATGGGAAACTTAATGACATGACCACACATTTCACGGCTACATCCTAGTTTGCAAGAAAAATCTGGCTGGCTGTTAAGATTTAAATAAACGTGGCAGAAGGAAATGTAGATCACACTGAAGAAGCCAAAAGTAACGCTATTAGTTTGTTTCATTTAAAATCATGTATTTTTAGAACACCTAGATATACTAAAAAAGTCAATTTCATTCGTTTGAGGGATAAAGGCTTCTCAATTGCTTTAAAAAGGGCACAGAAAGCACTTACCTGTGCTGATAGAGTATTGACATGGATCACCGATCCAGTGAATCTCAACGATGTACTTAACTTTGCCAAATGGATGGTACCTCTTGTTCCAACAAAGCATTCCATTGAGCACAATGAGTGATCCTCATTCTCAAAGAGAGCATATGTGGGAACTGTATTACAAACTCTGTTCCTGTAATGGCTTCAGATCTCTGTGGGAAAATTTTATTTAAGTCTTTGTTGGGTTAGCAGCTGATCTGATTTTCTACCAGTTTGTCACTAAGTCAATTATGGAAGACTTTTAAGAGCATGTTTCCTGTGACTGATCCAGAGCAGTCAAATGAAGAATCACTAAGGTCACTTGACTATGAAGAACACAATGCACTTTGTTATACAGTTGGATACATCATACGCTCTGTACTGCAGAAGATAAAGAGGTCTAATCATAAGCACAAGGATGAATTGGCAATTTTGCTTCCACAAATGCTAGACCTATTCAATTTATTATAATGATGACAGCACACACATAACTTACTATGTCTACGCAGACTAAAGATTGTCTCGGAGCTTAAGAGCATTCATCTCTTCAGCACCAGAAATCTGCTCTATTGTTGACACTAGTTTCCCATTCTTCCAAATATGGGAAGAACACATTCTCTAACCACTATTACAATATTGATCATAAGAAATGTATGCTAATTTGATGACTAACTTCCAATCTCTCTTCGTTTACATTTCTATAAGGGTGCATAAACTTCTTTCTCTTACGAGCTCCCTCCTTAAAGCTTGTCACGTTTAATGTGTCAAAAAACTTATGAAATATAAGCAAAAAGCGAGCTGTTTCTTTTGCCTTAGTTCCTACAGCAAGACAGAGTGCTTTCCCTACTGACTCACTAAGCACCGAAAAAATTACACATGATTATTTAGATCAAAATTATGATTCTAAATTGTGCAGCTAAATCCACTCTCATCTTGGAGAAGGATGTCAAATGTACATGTTTGTACTTGAGCTTAGGAACCATAGCTAGTCCAGATCTTTTCCCTTTATCAGCAGCATAAAGCTGCATTAAGTGGCTCCACGAGATATCTTTTCGATTAATCTATAATCGTGTATCAATAAACAAATCACATACAATTATATTTTACCCAGAGGTTACGAGCATTGGAATTCCAGCTGTTACGTACAGTTTTGATAGGATGTGGAGGATCAGAAAAAGGTAAATAATCTTTCCTCCTTAGCAAAAGATGTTTAGTGCTTTGTAAAGAACCTTAGTACAACTATCATGCAGTTAACCATCTTACAATTCACTGAGGCACCATCAAAAGTTGTAGCCAAAACCTAATGAAAAATAATTTTAGTTAAATATTAATACATATGCTTACTTTAAATCCAATCCTTTCTAATCCAAATATTGCTTCCCAAAAAGGTTCGAATATCAAGTCTCCCATTATTGTAAAGCATGGCAATTGCAAATATGGGAAACGAAAGTGAGTGAACAATCCTTTCACCATGAAGACCATCATTGAGGTGGCTAAGGTAGGTGCACTGTCACTGACAGAAGATACCAATTCTTCAAAGCTAATAAATGGTTGTTGACAGTACCAAGATCCACAAAGCCAACCATTTTGCCAGTGTGTTTGTTATAAACTGTTTATGTACATTTCATCAATTAATAGCAATACGAGACTATGTCACTCAGGAGAT